TATAGCCTAAAGATTGTAGCGATATAATAATGAATTCTTTTTGCTTCGGTGCACATCGTGCAAATATTATGACGTGCGGCAAGAGTTTCCAAAGAAGTCCCCGTTCTTTTTCCTTCAGATACGATAAACCCTAGAAAAATTAATTATGCAATAACAAACGATTGAATGTAAAAAAAAATCAAGATTTTTGTTTATTTACGTACTTCACCCGTTACGCAAAGCGCATATTCTTTCCAGATTTCTTTTCGCGATTCAATATTTTTCATGCTTAGAGGAAGCTGCGTCTTTTTGTCTATACTTTCCCACAACCATTCGCCATCATTTTTAGTTAGTATAAGTGTGCTAGGTTTCCTCGTGAAATGTAGCTCGCGGCTTACATGACAAGCCGTCAAAGGATTATCACCCGTTATCATCACCACCTAAATAATTATATTAAATTTGTTCAATTTTTGATAATTATGTCAAATTTTTTTGAAACTTTTATCAACGTCATCTCAACAAGGCGTCATCTACATACCGAATGTGATGAATTGACGATTTCTTTAATAACAGCTTTCGAGTCAGACTTAAGAGGACAGCTGATGATGACAAATCCCGCAAATGTGAGATTATTCTCCAACTTTTCACGAGTTAATTCTCTTAACTCTTGAGAGGAGAAGCTACCAGTAAGTTTTCGATAGCCCAAAGCGAGAACTCTTGCACCGCGCCGTGAAAGAGACAAATAGATTGAATCATAATTTTCTGGCACAGAAGATAACTGAAATGAAACAGTAGTTTATATCAATAATAATAAATACAAAAATCAATTAAAATAAAATAACAAATGTTATTTTGCTCACCATATTCTTCAGTGTTTCTGGCGCACCTTTTACCGTAGCCATGTAATGTACGTCTGAAGCCCCAGGAACATTATATCCAGCCACAACGCACATTCTTTTCAAAGTCGATGAAAAATGATATCTCTGTACAATCTTCAATGCGGAAGATTTGCCTTTTTTAGGAATTACAGAATCACCTAAACGAAACATTAGCATGAAGTAGCGTATTAATATGTTTGTGTTGTATTGTTATTTGCAAATTTATACCTACCTTTCGTGAGATTCCAATTGATAGCTTTGAGAGTAGCTTTTTCTAGCGGATCCCCAACGATACCATCGTCTAATTGAACAAGAGAATGACACGTGGCAAGTACTTGAATGCTCTCCAAAGGTGCATCTGATATTTGGACCACGTCTGGCTTACCACTTAAAAAGTAAAAGATTAAAATCATCTTTCCTAATAGCGCGAAAGATTACTCGAAGATAATAAAACAGATAGTAGTTTCTTACTTCATCCCCGCGATACCCTCTACAACCAAATTATCACTGGTAAGTGTACCAGTCTTGTCGAAACAACAAATATCGACTTTGCCGGCGAATGGAATTCTGAACGGTTCCGTGCAGAATACACCTGCGAAGAGGCATAACAATTTTCATGTGTAACTCTCATAGGATTAAAAATGTATTACATGTATTTCTTATTGAAATTATTTTTTACCCAAGTTTTTAAATCGTTATCAAACTTTTCGTATTACTTTCAAATGCAATATAGCAAAATTTATAATTTTTTCATAATGTTTTGTACATCCTTAAGCTTTCGGTAAAGTAAATCTATTTTAAATACCTAATTTGGATAGAGCTACTAGAGACGTGTTTACAGCCAGAGATAATTCTATAGGTAACTCTGGTGGTACAACAGACGTCAAAATTAATGTGCATTCCAAAAATAATTTATATTTGTTCCTTGTAGGATCCTCACTACCTAAAATCGAAATTTGTACATGTAAATATTCATCATAGTTCTCACTCTTATGTATAACATTGAATTACCTTTGACCCAAACATATGCGGCGGCAGCAATTGCAAAAATAAGCAGGAATAGAATGAAGCCGAAAGTTTCTAAATTATTGGCTGTAACGCGTTTAACGCCGAACAATATCGTTCTTAAAAGTTTTCCCTGTGACGTGGAAAAGCCGGTACGTAATACGTAAGCAATGCATCCATTATCGGTCGCTGTAATATCACGCATTAATGTCGTAAACAATAATAAAGTGAGTGAGAACGTTATAAGTGAAAAATAAAATTTATTAATAATACCTCGAAGACCGGGAGTAGTTTTGCTAGGAGGTGCATGCTGTACAACTTTTGTACCACCAAAAAGCACGTGAAGTTTATCATCTCCTTCGATATCTATAATTCTATTTCCATCTATATCTTCTATAGGTTCTTTCATTTGGGGTACAGATTCACCTAGACATTTCTCTCTCTTAGTTGTCATGATCTATGTCTGTGATTTAAGCATGATGATGTGATTTAGTTTGTTTGAAGTACCTGTTAACATGCTTTCATCAACCACGCAGGGGCCTCGCAAAAGCAACATATCACATGGCACTAAATTATCATGTTGAGGCCTTGTAATAGAGACAATATCTCCAGGAACTAGTTGGTCTGTAAATGATGAGCGCCATCGTCTATTTCTATACACCTAAAAGAGAAAAAAATAAGCATGAACGAAATTGGCCCGAAATAAGCAAATCGCAAGCAGACAGTATTTATATTCATACCATTATCATGTAAGGTTTATTGCCCATTTTACGAATCTCAGCCATATTTCTTAATTGTTGTTGCACCAGTGTACACTCAAACATGATAAGCATGATCAATGTAAAGATACTATAATACCAATATTTATCTAAGCACCACAGTGCCACACAGAATACTTGAAAGACGAAGAACGGAGCAATAGCGCGCTCTTTAAAGAGCTCCCAGAATTCTGGTACAACCATGTCCAACCTAGAGTAAAAAAAAAAAAACAATTCTTTTAGCGAGGTAAAAGATGCCTTGCAAGGAATTGATGCAAGGAGTTGTTCACACTATACTTGTTTTTCCCATATTTTTCTTCTGCTTTCTTAATTTCGTTTTGATCCAGATACCCTTTCCATTCAGAATAATGTTTCACGGAATGATTGATTGGGAACTGCAACCCTCTGAATGACCTTTTATCCGGATCCCAGTAATATTTTGTCTTTTGAAAAATGAACCAAGGTTCCTGTTCATCCGTGTGATGTAATGAAATCAGCTCCGAGCTGCCGTTGTTTGGGGTGGGAACTACTTTAACTATCCTGGCTTTGTGTGGATCTTCCTCCTGAAATTTCATTCACGGAATAGAAGAAAGGAATATCGCAAAACAAAACGCTCACGTGAGATTCCAAGGCTCAAGGCTTATCTTTCGCGACGTTCGAATGTACCGCCGAGGTGTCACGTGACCGATTCTAGCAGACGACCTGGCGTTCAAATGGCTACCAAGTTATGGAACATATTGGGGCCACGAAGAGCCACGTGCCCGTTATTTGAGGCAAATTGAAGGATAATTGCCACTTACGGAGCTGCAGTTTATGAACGTATGGATGTGCACCGACCATTGACAGCATAGGCACAGAAAAATCTGCAGCACGCCGATCGCTGCGATGCCTACCAGGCCCGCGTCATAGTACTCGTCGACGCCATAAACGAAGATCCAACAGTAGATCCACAAGGACTGCAGCATCACGAAGGGCAGGATGTAACCGTTGAACATCCATTTTCGTGGATTGTGCAGGCTGACAGATTGCACGAGATCATCTACTCGTGAAGAGGTCGCCGCCATGATTACACCGCAAAGATTAACAAGTCGTCACAACGGGCAAGAAACGTTTTAACGCCCAACAAACTTTTAAGCACCATTCACATCAGGAGATCCGCTTTAAACACACGATCCGTTCGGGCAATATAACGCGAGCTGGGCGATCGCGTTTCGCATATGCAGAGATTCAAAGAGAATGAACGAGTCGACTGTTGCCGACTGTGCCGCAGGGTTATGTTAAAAGTTGGAATGGATGAGAGTATACCAGCAGCTCTAATGCGGCAGATACAGCTTAGCAGTCCTAACACGAGTATTTCTCGGTAGATAACACAGTCCTGTACTAAATGCAAGCATGCACTTCAAGCGCCATCATGAGTGTCGCAAGCACAACTCGTAACCTAAAAATGAACATGGCTGTAAAACCGCTATATTTGAATGTTAATTCTCCTAGATTAAGCCAAATGAAGGAATTCATGTAGGCCGCTTTATCTTTCTGAATTATAAAAAATGATTTATTTTTATATCCTAGTCGCAATTTCGTCTGCAATAAACGTGATTATTTAAATCCTTACATTATGAGAATGTTATAGCAGCATTTTTTATGTATTATATAGATAAAAAAAATGATTGTTCAAAATGTTATAGAGACGGAGTTTCAAATAAAAACTCCAAATAATAATAAAACATAATTATGTAATGATGTCTCTCTCTCTCCCCTCTGCTCAATTATAAGACTATTTTTTTTTATTTTAGATTACTGAATGCCCTGTAAGTAACGACCAGGAATTACTACTATACATATGTATTTAAAGAAAATATTATAAGAGAGTATTTTTAAATATATTTGAACCAAATATTTAATTTCCTTATAATATTTCCTTCTTAATATAACTTAATTTTTTAGATCAACTATTTCAAAACAAGAATATTTGAAATATTTATTCAATTTTCATTTGACATATTGTTATCTTACAGCAAGTGATTTCAAATTTTCACTAAAAGGCAATCTATCTTCTTAAGAACATATCGTGAAAGACACACGTATGTACATATCTCACGTAAAAGAAAAGAAATTTTTAACGATTTCTGTCTTCTAAACTTCACTATACTGAGCATCTCAGTATAAGAAATAGCATTTCTCTTTCTCTTTCCTGACGCACTAGCTCCGTCACATAATCAAGATGTATCCGTGTCATCCGGAGAAAAAAACCTTAGTTCACGCTGTCATGAGGTCGATGAATCCCTCGCCGCACGTATTCCAGTGAAAGTATGTGTCCGCCTACCCCACCCTGAGCACCGCAGAACTCGTGCACGTCGCCCGAGGAAGGGGCCAACGCACAGGTATACCCACGTATCCCACGTTGCTAGGTAGACTCGCGGCGCGTAGAACCGAATCGCGCCAGTATCTGGACCCAGTGTCGTGGACACTTTCGAATCACGCTGGCCAAAAGTGGAAAGACGCCCATTATATTAAACGTACTCTATCATAGTCGGTGCGACAACGAGCCACGCGCATTGCAACAACGGTAGCGTCTAGAGAAGACGGGGGTGATCAATCCCGAATTGGATTAGAGTTCGCCTTCTTTCGGCTTAAAGTCCGCTAAGTCAACGCGGATCGAGATTCGGCCAACGAGCACAAGCTGTCGTTTATCTGAAAAATTCTAAGGTATAATATATTCGAGCGCGAAACTCAATTCGATTTTGCCCTTAACGGGTCTTTTTTTTTTCTGTCTCTTGCGATCGTCCTCTGAGCAGCGATCCTGGGTCAGTTCCTGGGTTATCGTTTGTCGGCGGTGACATTGGCACGGCGATTGATCAGCACGCGATGCCAATTAAGTGACTTCGCGGCCTCCTTCCTGTCGAGACACCTGCCGTGCTCACTACAGGATAGAAGGAAGTTCTATCACGGAGGGGTGAATCATAACGATAGATCGAAATGGCGTTCGCGTGGCATCTAATATCAATAGTGAGTGATCGGTCTAACATGATATTAAAAATAACCAATCGCCAATCGTAATATCCGAGAAGCTGTGTTTAAATATGATGTAACGTTCTTTCTATTAATTGTACCTTGTACATCTTTCTAATCGCGGTTTCCGCATTGACTCATCTTGATTAATAGCTAACGCATTTTTATCTGCCGATCGAATTACGTGTAGGCTGAATCAGAGCCGATTAATACCGTCGCAAAAAGCACGCGTTTGTATGCCATAGGCATAGTACAGGAAGAATCCTGATAAGCGATCAATTACAATTGTCGGTGCAATATCTCACAATAACTGGTCCCACATTGTATAATACATTGCTCTTGGTCGGAGGACTAGTGAAGATCTCGTGTTTCTCATCTACGTGTACAAATACAAAATGTGCGTAAACTATACTTTTACATGCGTATACAGAGGAAATGAATATTTTTTTGCATATACCGAATTAATAATCGAGAAAGAAAATTTAATCGAAAATTAAAAAATAGGCACTTTTCAATATTTTCGAGGTACGCCTTTTTCTGAAACATATATTATTATGATGTCTGCATTGTGATGTCTTGTTTGTACCAACAGTTTTTCTTAATGGTCACCTGGGGTGAACCTTGTACGGAGTACGGATGTCCAGGGCGGCCGCAGTACGAACCCTTCGTACCCGCGCCTCCAGGACTCACCCCCCAATGCGCGCCACCGGGGCAGACCTTCTGCGAGACCCCAGATCATTATCCTCGGTAAGTACCCTTAGAACACTCCTCGTCCTCCTTTTCTCCTAAAAATATCGCTGTCCAGCCGGCGGCGAGTGGATAACGCAACAAGTGGAAATCTGCGACGATCCGGTCGACCCATTTTCAATTGTTAATATTCCTTTCGCCGCGTCCACTATGTCCATCTTCCGCCTTCCTCCATGCATACAAATGACCGACGCACACGTTGAGAAAAACTTCTGGAGGGGAAAGTCTGCTGACTCTCCTCTCTTCCTTTGAGGTGAGAATCCGTTTCTCGAAAGCATCTCGGGTTTTGCCTTAATAGGCTTGCACAACCAATTTTTTTTTATGCCAGATAGACTCTCGCTTAGCATAAAATGATGCATAAAATGATTTTTGTCTCTCGTTTTTAATAAGCGCGATCCAGCCCAAGAGAGCTCCATCTTTACCGCGATGGAATCGTAGACATGAAATGTTCGAGCGTTCGTTCGTTATCCTCCGCTTATGCTTGTTCTCGTGCTACATATGCAAGTCGGCTGTAAGTCGATTTCCTAAATTTTTGCGTGCACTTTCACACTTGAGTCCCATTCTGAAGATGTTAGGATGAGTTACGTAAAGTGAGCGGCAACTATAATGTAAGAACGTCCGTGAGATCGTTGCTCAGCGTACCATGACCATGGCCTTGACGCGGTCATGCTTCGTTGGATAATTATTGGGCCGTTGTAATAGTCCCAAATCGAGCCTCGATTAAAAACGCCGATTCTTTCTTTCTTCTCCACTAGACAAATCGTTCTTTCGTAACGACTTGTCTAGTGGAGAAGAAAGAAAGAATCGGCGTTTTTCATGTCAAACATTTCAATGGGTAACACTCGTGATCTAGCATTCGCGAATCGTACGCGACGATCGTACGGACAAATTTGCAGGAAATAATTAATGAAACGGGCAGTGATAAAACCGCGGTATTTTAAATTACAAAACAAACTTTTTTTTTTTTTTTTTAAACAATTTCGGACATTCGAAATATCGCTGATACCGTATTCTGTCTCGTGCAATTTCAGAATCTTTCAGCGCCGCGTAGTGAAATAAGATAGGGTCTTTTTTTTTTTCGACAAGTTGCAACGATCCTCACCGCAGCAAAGGTGAGTAATTTTAACTGGAGAAACTTGGGACTACGACAGCTGTCACTTCCGATAATTATATATGCGCGTAAGAAAGACCTGAGCAATGGTCAATTAGACTGACAATATCAAATTGCTGACTCAAGTCGGCCTAGCTATCGCTCACGGCGCGACGTCGCGCGTGTCATTTCGCCGCAAACAAAACGCACTGCACCTCGCCTCGCTAATGCTTGCTCAGACCTAACACAGTTGCGCAATGTCCAATTGAGAACGCACCTGCGTAAATAACCTTTTGTCAACCTGGAAGAGAGACGAATCTTGGTCGTCCGGTTGAGAGACAGAATGGCCGGTATCTTTGATACGCGTTGCAGCAAGATCTCTGCTCGCGCGCGCGAGGCTAAAGATCAAATGTAATATCCTCGAGAGAATGCATTACCCGTTTTTATCAACGCATTGTATTCTCGGCAGAGAGGTAACGGTTTCTTTCCTTCTCCTTTTTATTTTTATTTTTTTTCTTTCTTTTTCTCCTCTTTAGACAACTCATCAAGTTCCTCGTCGACAAATGCAGCTTCGACTTTAACACCGCGCTGCAAGATGAATCCCGCGACGATTTTAACGCTTACAGGTACATATTTTCAGTACAGCTGGAATATTGCGATACATATACGTAAAAGAAACTTATACACGCAAGAGGCTCAGATAAGTACGAATAACTTACTCAATTTTTATCATTCAGAGACGTTGACGTATTATATAATTGAGACGTGTTACGATAAACGAGACATTGTTCTAAGTGCCAAAATTGTGAAAATATGTTTGATTGCATGAACTGTAAATATTGTGTTCACATATTTGGCGCGGAAAGTGTTATAAACGGAGAGTTTGCAACACGTTGTATGTCCATTGTGCAATTGGCATTTTTACTTGGACTTACAAAAATGTTTTGACTGACACTTTTATTCGGAAAGCAACGTTTTGATTTGCATCTTTTACTTTGACTTACATTGGAATTTTTAACAACTTCAACACGATTTTTCAGAAATTAGAATTAAAAATTAAAATCTTTCGCAGAGACTGATTGTTCATATCTTTAGATATCACGATAAGTTTTGAAGTAGTTTTCAAGAATATAAGTTTTCTTTCTTTCGTTTGGAAAATTAAAAAAATGACATAATGTTTTGCTTAGACACACGTCTCAATTAATCATTTATTTGAATATTATTGATATCCTTGCATATATCCTTTTTATCATTTTTAAGTTCTCCACCGGATTATAATCAAGGCTATGATTATCCACGACAAGACGATAGTCAATTATACTCGCAGTTTCCTCTTGGAGGAGAACCAGCTCCAGTGTATGGACCTCCATCTAATAGTAGTCGTTATCATGGGTAAAGCTTATTACGTGTTTATATATCAAATTATTTATATTATCTGCACGAGATGAGATGAGATTAGATGAAAAGGCACAAATAATGATACAAGTAAACTGAAATGATATCAATGTACGAAGTTAGAGAATTTCGATTTGTCTCGAATTGCAGCTACAAATATTCTGCACCGCCATACTCGCAAAGAAATCCTTTCCTTCCGGGAGTAACGCTGAAGTATCATCACGACGTCCAACGACAAATCGAGCGTGCTCATTCGCAAGAATCCGTAAACGTATTTGAGTCGAACCAATCGTGGCTGACGAATAGGTACGAAATATCGCACGGAGAAGTTAAAAATGACGACTTCTCCTTGCATACGCCTAATATACATACAGTGAGTGCAAAAAATATTCGTACAGATATCTTTTTCAAAAACTTCATTTTTAACAAGTAAACATCAGTTAGCAATTTACTGATGAAAAATAAAATAAACAGTACTTTTTCCAAAAAATCATTTAATCTAAAATGTATATATAATAATTAAAACGTATTATCTTGAAAATAAGCGAAAATGAAATATTGTTTGGACGTACAAAAAAGTACAGTCGAGAAATTTAGCTTTTAAGATCAGGCACATGGAAAGGTCTCCTGTTTATATTAGGACGGAAGTCCCTTTTTGGTAATGTAAGCTAAGACAAATAAATTCTATTCTATATTAAAACAGAAACGTATTAATTGTATAAAATTATTAATTAGTGTTTATTTTTTCCAAAAGACTTTTATAAAAAAGATCACCTGTACATATATAATCTTTGCACTCCGACTGTTCGTCTTTATACCTTGTCTTAAATAACAGGTATTCGCGAGGTGACAAGATAGCACCGCGAAGTTACAGCGTAAACCCGTTATTGGGATACGCGAAACTTAAGGGCGACCGAGTAAAGAGGCAGTCGAATTCGGAAATCATCTCCCTGTGTCCCACACGAGCCCAATATATCGCTCCCCGAGCCGCTTTGAACAAACAGGGTAACTGGATGTATGTTGTTAATATTCCTGAACAAAACAAGTATTCGCAGCTCGTCAGAAGCGAGAAATGTTTGTAAGTATGCTCTAAGAGAATTAGCGTTTGCGTTGTCTTCTTTGTCTTAACAATGAATCCAACACAGGGCCACGTAGGATACTCGTAATATTTGTCAAGATATCACTCTAATTTAATTTGCGTTTTACTTTTAATTTTCACGTTTACTCTAAGTGGTATTAATTCCGGAGAGGTCACGTTTTTATATCACATTAGAACCATCATATCGGATGATGAACTTAAGGGAGACCGTGAATGAGAAAATATCAATCCTTTCTTTGTGCTTTTATAGAAATGACGTGTGCGACGGTATATGCTCCATCCCGGAGGGGTACAAGAGTAGATGCCAGCAACAATTCGTGCAAAAGAGGCTAGTCGCGCTCGAGGGAAGCGGAAATCGACTTTACACCGACTTATTCTGGTTTCCACATGGTTGCTCGTGCCAGATCATACCGAATTTCTAAGGATACTGCGACTACGGCGTTGTGCTGTGAGCGTGAAAGGGTTAATTTCAGGGGGGGTGAGCGCTATTAAACGCGGCCGTGCACGTCGTTCTCTTCACGATTGTAATTCTGCGACATAGAGCGCGCCTGGCAACAGCATTGAAAGTGGATACCGATAATGTAGTGTTCTATGAACGGTGTGTACCCGAGTAAAAGTGTGTATCGCGACACGTATTATCAACGGTGTGAGGCAGAGGCGGATACACGTTGTCAGTTTATCGTTAATTGCCATTGTTAATTGCGAATCACGAACAGCATAATTCTGTTAAATGCGTCACTGAACGTATTCAACGTGTTTCTCTGCGGTTAATAGATGGAAAATCTTTCAGCGAGAGATGTCGGTATACCGATATCATTACTCGCATCGTACATTTAAATACATATTTATATATATATATATA